GCCAAGGAAACAAGTATGTTCTAACAGTACTCGACACAACCACACGGTACCTTATCACCGACTTTATGCCCTCCCGAGCACAAACCCCGCAACGCCTCGACTATATCCTAACCACTATCAAGGAGAACACAGGACATTCACCACGAGTCCTCCGCACCGATAACGCACTAGAATATATGTCAGCAACTGCCATACAGACATACCATAACCAGCGCACACGGCATTCCACCACCATCCCCTATACCCCTCAAGAGAACAGCCTTGCCGAAAGGATAAACAGCACGCTTCTCAACGCGGCACGGGCTGCCCTTCACCACAGTAGCCTTGGCCACCACCACTGGGAAGACGCGATCAGAGATGCGACATTTAAATATAATCACACAATGCACCACGGCACCAAAGAGCTCCCCACCACTAAATGGCACAACGCAACCCCCACCATCCCCCAATTACACATATTCGGCCAGCTGGGCACCACACCCGACCCGCGACAACGTGCAACAATCCCGAAGCTACAATCAAGATCACGTACAGTACGGTACCTGCACCCCCATGAAGACACACACATCACCGTCATAGACGCCGCCACCTCAAAAATCCACCGTATACGAACAGTGGACTTCCACCCCTACCATGCCTCGCGAGATCCAACCGCAACCACCGTAGCTGCGTTCAAGGCCTTTACCCCGCATAAGACGCCAATGAACATCTCTATATCAACACCTGCCCCCCTCAACCGAGGACAGGCCAAGAAATATCCTGACGCACCACTCTGGGCAGAGGCCCACGATAAAGAACTTGACGCACTCGACAAAAAGAAGGTAATCAAATGGACCCCCAACAAGCACCTCCCGCCCAAAACACGCCTCATCCCCCTCACCATGGGATATCGCTATAAGCGCGACAAAAACGGCGACATCGTCAAACGCAAAGCACGATGTGCTGCACGCGGGGACACCATGCTCCCCCACGTCCATTACGAGCCCAACCGCACCACGACCTACATGGTCGATAAGTCCTCCGTGCGCCTCTTATTTGCAATGGCCGCAGCACACAAGCTACACATGGAGCATATAGACATCGAAGCTGCCTACCTCCACGGAAAATTCGACCACAGTGGAAAACAGCCAGTGTATGTACGCCAACACCCCCGTTTTGACGGGACATACAAACATCCCTGCAAAGGAGGCAAGCTCCTCCAAAACCTTTACGGCACACCACAAGCAGGCTACACGTATCTCACTGCCGTCTTCGCCCTCCTCCACCGTCACGGATTTCGCCACTCAGAAGCCGACACATGCCTGTTCCACAAAATGTCCCGCAACGCGGCAACCTTTGTGGCCATAAGCATGGACGACTTCACGATTGCAGCCACCTCCACTAAGCTCCTCAACGACTTTGCAAAAATACTCGCAACGGCGTACACCATAAAACGCCTAGGAGAACCCAAGACGCTGCTCGGATGGACTGTACACAAATCTCGCGACGGCGCCCGCCACATCTCCGAGCCCACCGCTATAGCAACCATCCTCCGTAAATGCGAGATGCACGTCGCAAACAGCAAGCCAACTCCGTACCAAGACGGAATTCGACTGCACGGCCCCACCCCCGAGGAAGAACCCCTGAACAAGCAGGCCAAAGAGTACCAACAAATAGTTGGTGATCTGCGCTACATCGCAGGCTCGACCCGTCCTGACATTTATTTTGTTGTGAATCGTCTCTCAGTCGCCTCCAAGGCTCCTACAAAGCGCCATTGGAATGCCCTGAAGCGCGTTCTGAGCTACCTTCGACACACACCCAACCACGGGCTATTCTTTCCCGCCGCGCAGCACAAGCTGCACCCCAACACACCCGCCCCAAACCCCATTTCATCAGCATCGCTCCTCACCACGTACTCCGACGCCGACCATGCCGCAGACGTAACAGATCGCAAGTTGATCTCAGGCATCATCCACCTGTACAACGGCACACCCATCTGCTGGGGCTCCCTCAAGCAGAAAATAACCGCCCTCTCCACCTGAGAAGCGGAGTATATCGCAGCCACAGCGGCAGTACAACAAACTGCATGGCTTCGCAGGATCCTCGGCGACATGCGCATGCTCAGCCCCAGCCCCACCCCTTTTTTCATGGCAACCAGTCCGCCCTCCGGGTCGCACACAACACCGGCCCCACGAAGAGACGCAAGTACATCGACTTGCGTCATCATTACTTGTCGTACCACGCCAAGAAAGGACACATCAAAATGTCCCATGTCCCCAGCGCGGACATGCTCGCCAACGTCCTGACCAAGCCGCTCAGGACCGACCCCTTCCGCAACCTCACGGCGCAAATCAAAGTCACACCCCGGCCCCCGCCGACACATCCAGGCCGCGACCACACAGCGACGGGGGGAGGTTCATGATTCCCATGTCTGATTTCTGTCGCTGTATGGTCGCTTTGCCTCTCTCTCATGATTCCTGTCATGATTCCCATGTACACCTGTCACACGCACACACGCACGCCAGGTGTCCACCCTAGAGACGGCGCCTCCGCCGCCGTCCTTCTTAGTGCACCGACCTCTAGCCTCAGTAAACATCGGACCATCGTTCCTTGCACCACAATGTCCACAGCAGCGATGCGCTGTAAAGAAAACTGAAAAGAGTAAAGAGAAAATTCCCCCAGATCTATTTCTTCAACTCTTCTAAATCACGCTCTCAGGAAAAGGGCTAACAATTCAATTTGAATTGCGCATAAATGATCGCAGGAGGACAAGCAAGTCATTTGTGCATTCATATGGGGTGAGCACTTCCTTTCTGAGAGGCTACAGTGTGATATCGGCAGCTCCCACCAGGACCATTGTGTACTGTAGGCTGGGCGGTGGGACCTCGCATGGCTATCGAGAACGATGGTAACGCAGTCCAAAGGTGTCTTCCAGTTCTGTGTACGTGCGCCGCCACCTTTATTTGCTAAAGCAAGCCGGATTGCTGTCATCTGTCATCGACGTCGAGTGTCACGGTCCTGTTGCCTACTGTATATCCATCTCTCGTTAATTTTTCTATACAGTACTCCGTCGTCCACAGAGCAAAGTTTATATAAAGCGGTCCCCCTTTCGCTGCCAACCCCTTTCCCGTCGCAAGGAGCAAACTGCCAATATGTTTTCCCCCATTGTCCCCCTTTTCTTCCTCCTACTTCCTCTAGCCTCATGCATGCCGCAGTTTCTCGCGCGCATTCCCAACGGCGGCGCAAGTGTGATCCCTAACTCCGGCCTAACCTGCCTCGCCCTCGGTCACGAGCAATGCATTCCCGGTGCGCCTCGCAACTCTTTTGGACTCGATTTCAAGGCTGCAGAATTCCGCTGGACCCTCGCCTTGTGCCAAAAGGACTCTGACGGGGATGGACTCACCAATGGCGAGGAGCTGGGAGATCCCTGCTGCGAGTGGACAGAGGTCAACAAAATTCCCTTGCGAACGATATTCCTCAGCCATCCTGGGGATAAAGACGAGAACGGCGCGAAGGACGGTCCGAAATGCCGTAGTATGTCTGGCCAAGGTCCAGAGACTACGCCGCCAACCACGACTACGCCGGTTACAAGTGGACCTCGATTGACGACCACGATGCCACCTACAACGAGGAGTCCAACGACGGCTAGGCCTCCACCCACAACCAGGCGTCGAATGATGACTAGGGCTCCACCTACAACCAGGAGTCGAACGACGACTAGAGCTCCACGCACAACCATGCGTCGAACGACAGCTAGGGCTCCACGCACAACCATGCGTCGAATGACGACTAGGGCTCCACGCACAACGAGGCGTCGAACGACGACTAAGGCTCCACGCACAACCATGCGTCGAATGACGACTAGGGCTCCACGCACAACGAGGCGTCGAACGACGACTAGGGCTCCACGCACAACCAGGCGTCGAACGACGACTAGGGCTCCACGCACAACCAGGCGTCGAATGACGACTAGGGCTCCACGCACGACCATGCGTCGAACGACGACTAGGGCTCCACGCACAACCAGGCGTCGAACGACGACTAGGACTCCACGCACAACGAGACGTCGAACGACGACTAGGGCTCCACGTACAACAAGATCTCGGGGTATGAGTACCACCTCATCAGACATGTCCGCGACGACTTTCCCGAGTGAGTCATTGATGGCGACGCCCTCACCAGATGAGATGTTCGGCCTAATGCCTTCACCGACTGAGTCTTCGACCCCAACACCGCTTGCACCAGCTAACCAGAGCGAATCCCCGTTCCCAATGTTTTCGCTGGAGCCTACAGAAGAAGACAGGATCCCGGATCCTCTGGGCAGCTGCACCCTTCGTAAAGATCGACTCACTGTGGCATGCGTATGCTTTGCCTCGCTGAACAAGGATATTAAAATGTTGATCTCTCGGGCAGATGTGGTAAGCAGATGCGTGGACCTCTTCGATTCGAAAGACAACATTCGCAGGCTTGGATTTGCGTGCGACAAATTCAGGGAAAATGGGGAACTGGAGGAAGACAAAGTGAGGAGGCGAATTAACGTGGTGGACATGTGTCTGGAGTCGTAATGTAATTATGGGGTTTCGGCAGAAAGAAAGAGAGTTTTGTTGATCAGAGTGCGAACGGGCGCAACGGGCGCCACCCTTCCTGTGGCCCGCTTCGCTTTGAGATAGGAATTGCGAGCAAGGGCGACGGCAAGGTAATTGGGGTACGTCATCTTACCACATGCTGTAGATCTAGATGCTTTTTCTTATGAGTGAGAGTTTATCAAAGAGTAGAGCCTGCATATTTTTGCGTTTCGCATGTAGCGGGTGTTATAGAAAGGTCTTCCGTAGCCCTGGAAACTATTGTGGAAGCCATAGAAGTGCATCCACAATATTTAAGTCGAGGTCAAGAGCGTTGTTCAGAGCTAAGATTTGCAGAGTGAGTATGCAGCTTGCTTCGGAGTACTGAACTTGAAATGAGGAGGTTAGTAAGGTGTCATTGAAGCATGACAGAGCTGGCGTGTTTGCTGAGTGATTGGAAAACACGCAAAACGGTACAGTAGTCCAGTGCACTGTTGCACACTGCAAGCCCCGTGACATGAGTGAAGGGGAGATGTGATAGTTCATTTCTCTCGATTACATAACTCCATGTTCAATGGAGGATACAGCTAACACAGACTTGCAGGAATAATGGTGGGTTACGTGTCGGCCGGAACGCAATGAATGGTCAAGATATGGAGAGGTCAAGGCATTCTAAAATAAGTGAAATACACGTCTTTGGGTTGCGTGTTTGACATTGTGCTTGATGTCACACACACTGATGTTGACATCAAAAAGGAAAATACACTTGGTTTGGCATCTCACTGTACTGTCGATATGGCGATGGTTGAGGTATGAGAAGGAAAGGATACTAAGCATACTGCAGTACAGTTGGCATTCCGGTGCATTATTTAGGTCGGCGGCGACGGCCGCTCTGTGACCCCGCCCCCTCCGGATTGTCGGAATATGGCATAGTCAAGAGTCGTTCTCTAATGCACAGTGCTCGCCCCTCGGCGGCCGGCCGAGGCTCCGGCGCTGGCGGCCCCTGCCGCCACAGCAGCGGCAGGGTCCAATGGGTGTGACGATGGAGGGCGGTGTCGGACGAAACTATCCAAGAGCTGCAGTGTATTTCAGGTGACAAGGCAAGACGTGAACAAAGGTGATGCAGAAAGGTTAAAATTTACTGTATACAAGTTTGTTTTGTATTTGTGCTTTCTCTCCTCCTTGCCTACCAATCTGTCGTCTGTAACGACTTGTCACATGACATAAAACAACACGTGGACCCGCTCAACCAATTTCTTGTCGAAAAACTTCGAGCTTGTACGACATCACAGTCATGCCCAATTTACTTGCACTGATGGTAATTATCCATACACATTTAACTGTATTTCGTGGCTTGCGGCCGCAGTATATTCCAAGACGGAACATTTGTCCAATAGGAAAAGAGTTCTTGAGAACTCTTTTCCCGTTGAGATCACCCAAATTTCAGACTGCACATCTCCTCTCCAATTGACGACCACATTTCATTGTATTGTTTCGCAAGGAGTCATTGCGTACCGGCGAAGACATAATTTAACCATTTATTCGATGCGTATAGAAAAGGGAGCATATCAGCACAGCATACGTACTCCTTAAAACGTACATATACATGCCCACATCCGTAATATGATAATATTATGGGAATTTCTGGACATGGCCGTCATAATGACCACGTAAATGGACATCAGCGTAAACAGTGAGATTTAACTGCAGTTCGGTGTTACGAGTTACTACAATACGACATGGTCGCCGCAGTTGATCTAGGAGTGGTTAAAAGTGGACAAATAAAAGTATGGAAAAACGGTGCTGGTGCTCAAATAGTAATGGCAATGCAGGCGGCAATGCTTCGCAATGGAAAATGGCGGAGGGAGAACATACCTGACATGAAATGGCAAATGATGTATACTGCAGAAGCGAATGGCCAAGGTAGGGCGCTGTCGGGTGCGACACACTCGTAAGTATGGGTATCGACGGCGGTGGTGAATGTCCGACGGCGACGGGAATATTCTTACATACATTTCGCAACAAAATGCCGAAATATTTGCATCTTCGTATTGTCACCGCCAGGTTTGGTGTACCGATTACCGATGAAGTCCGAGAATGGACCGCAGCCGCCAATTAATTTCGCTATGTGTATCGTTTCGAAAAAAATGGGACTTGAAATGCACTGTTTGCAATGAAAATCCAGGATGTGTGACACCGAGTTCCATTAAAATTGTGATGTGTACTGCTATCCCAGAAATTATGGTGTGCTGACGACCGAAAAAGACTAAAATGTAAATTGTGTACAGTGATTCGCTTTCATGTTGAGGATTATGTTGACTCATTGCCATTGCATGAAATATGCGGACCTCCTGCCAACACGATTTGACATATCGACCACTTTTTCTTATATTCTGATGTCATAACAATGAAAGTCCTTAATCTCTCTTCGCATTCTACCAAATGATATGAAGGATGTCATGTGTGCCACCATTTCCCAAATGTCGCTAATATTATTATCATCTGAACAATCGCTATATGAATTGCAACAAGGGAATACTTTTACTATTCTCGTGTCGTACACTGCGAGAGGTCGTGTTCTGGTATTAAATGCCTTATTTTGCACATTCCAAGCAGAAAAACGTCTGTACAAGTAAGTAATGCATCAGCTCATATTTCAATGACACGAGTGGGAATCCGGAGATGAGGAAATTTAAATATGAAGAGGACTAATTGCAGTTGTTTTCGACAATTGACCGAATAACAATGAAATCGTCGGGCGTTGCCTCATTTTTTAGTCTCTTGAAAACGAAACAGCATGCTTTCTGCCCGTCTACAGATACAAATTAGCGCTGAGTTTGTAAACGTTTTTCACAGTACGGGTCGCGTGTTGATTATGGAGTAATAACAAGTTAGGACGGGTTTTTCTAGCTCTATTTGTCTCACATAGGCCAGCTTTCCATTTTTACGCTACCTCTGTATTTATTTAAAGTGTCAGAGTCATTTGCGATAGACTAGCTCACACTACTCACACACAAAAAGAATCAGTACATCTTCAAACGCATCAACAACAACCTCACACCACCCTCACACCACTCTCACACCAATATGGGTCGCTCTGGCTCTTCTTTTCACCCTAGTGATTTTTCGGATTTACCGGATTTGCTCGATACACCACTGCCTTCCATCACTACGATAGAAGATACTTTTGATTTTGAAAATAGAGGTAATTCCAGCTCCCAAAATCGTAGACGACACGGTCAAGGGAGTCGTAGTACTTCTGCATCGTCCTCTCGCAGGGAAAGTACCCCACGTTCATCTTCACTTGCTTCCCAACCCCCCGCCCCGAGTCCCTCTATAAACAAGCAACCTGGGAAGCATAAATGCCCCAAGTGCCCTAAAACATTCACTAGACAATATTCAATGAAGAGGCATGAAAGAACCGTACATGACGGAATACTGGAACACAAATGCGGAAGTTGTGATTTAAGATTTTCGCATAGAGGCGGAAAAAACCGTCATGAAGCTGCCGTACATGCGAAAGAGAAACCACATAAGTGCCGTCATTGCGATGCTACATTTGCATCAAAATCCCATATGCTCAGGCATCAGGGAACGCATCAGGACCACAAACCACATAAATGCGACAAGTGCCTCACGACATTTAATAGACTTGACTGCTTGCAAAGGCACATCGACCATGTCCACGAGAAACGTAGACGATATCCATGCAACATGTGTGACCATATCTTCAAACAGCGTGCACATCTGGAAACGCACATGAAAGGGATTCACAAAAAGGAGAGGAAGTAATACGTAGGTGACTGTGATCGTTGCGATGAGCGTGCTTGCCATCCCCTCTCTGAAGAGATAGATGACTAAATCATGGCTTTACTGCAGTACTTCCTGTTTTATGATAGTGATTCCTTTTAGTAATGCATCACTGGATGACGTGCTACAGAAAACTGATAGCAGGAGTTCTCCAGGAACTGCCTCAATCAAGTATGATAATCATATGGATTGCGGGAAAGCGTGTTGCACAGTGGAAGAATCATTTGGCAACTGTGCTATAACTCGTGTGTGCTTGTGCTAATTACATCATGTTCGGGATACACACAACAACAGTTCACTATCAGGGACAGGAATTAACTGCTGCCCTTTTGGCCAGAAATCACTCCTCCGATCTCAAAATATGTAACGCCTCTTAACGAGTGACCTCAGAACGGTGGGGGCGAGAGTTTCTTTGAACTCATTGATGTAAATCTCGAAAACAGAGATAAACAAAAATTGCAGTACAGTAGGGCAAGTGCAGAACAAAATAAAACGAGAGTATCCTGTTCATCCTTGAAGTTGCACCCCCGCACACCGTACAGTCTGCGTTACGGGACACTTTTCCGACGTTCTAGCTAGACAGAGCCCTCAGGAGGGATATACATCGGCATTACGTCCCGCTTTCAAGTTAATTTACCGACCATTCTCGCTGGCACAGTTGCCATTTACAGGAGTTACTATCCATGCTTATATGTTGTAAGGTTTTCAATTTATCAAACCCCGTTTTTTTGTGAGTAAAGACGCATAAAAGAGTAACTGCTAGTCTTCATGCTAAGAAAATGTGTCTATCGAGGAGCGCTTTTCTCCCCGCTATCCTTCAGAAATCACAAAGCTCTTATAACGGTTTTGTTCTCTGATATATGGTAGACTATAAGACGAGAGAAAAAGGTAGTGAAAGGATAAGTGTGGTGTGCTTTTTTGTTGTAGCATTAATATTGGGAGAAGAGAATCTCTTCAGTGTGTGTAACAATGAATCGTTAAGATTCTGCAGAGGGTTAGTGCGCGTACGGGCGGTTTTGAGGGCGTTACGACGCCGGGGGTTGAGGGCAGGCTCCTGCCGGGCGAGGGTCTTCTCGCGTAAGTTGGTTGAGTTTATTCTGTGAGTCGTTCGTCTGTGTGTTCTCTCCTCTTCGGTGCTGGAGGAGGTTGTGATACTAAAAAGCTGAAGCGAAAGGCAGAGACAGTTTCTCTGTTCGGGATCTGGCGGAGGCCCTGTACTGTTGATCGGGATCCTGGGAGAAGCGATCAGGATCAGGCTGACTCTCCGAGGGGTGTTACTGTAATCTTCTTGTCGCCGACTAACATGATCGGCGGCGTCCGAGATCCCTGTTTCATCATTTTTCTACTCAATATCGGTAATCTTGTTATCTGAATGAGTACACAACAAAGTCGTGCTTTTGTATACGAAATCAA